AGTGTGAGAGAGAGAGACAGGGAGAAAAAGCAATTTACAGATTCAATGCAATACCAATCAAAATACAGAAGACATTCTTCTCAGATCTGGAAAAAATGATGCTGAAATTCATATGGAGGCGCAAGAGACCTTGAATAGCTAACGCAATCTTGTACAACAAAAACAAAGCCAGAGGCATCACAATACCAGATTTCAGGACATACTACAGGGCAGTTGTAATCAAAACAGCATGGTACTGGTACAGAAACAGACAGATAGACCAATGGAACAGAATACAAACACCAGAAATCAACCCAAACATCTACAGCCAACTTATATTTGATCAAGGATCCAAAACCAATCCCTGGAGTAAGGACAGTCTATTCAATAAATGGTGCTGGGAAAACTGGATTTCCACGTGCAGAAGCATGAAGCAAGACCCCTACCTTACACCTTACACAAAAATTCACTCAACATGGATTAAAGACTTAAATCTACGACCTGACACCGTCAAATTATTACAGAGCATTGGAGAAACCTTGCAAGATATAGGTACCGGCAAAGACTTCATAGAAAAGACCCTGGAGGCGAAGGCAGTCAAAGCCAAAATTAACTATTGGGATTGCACCAAATTGAGAAGTTTCTGTACTGCAAAAGAAACAGTCAGGAGAGTGAAGAGGCAACCGACAGAATGGGAAAAAATATTTGCAAACTATGCAACAGATAAAGGGTTAATAACCAGAATCTACAAAGAAATCAAGAAACTCCACAACATCAAAACAAACAACCCACTTAAGAGATGGGCCAAGGACCTCAATAGACATTTTTCAAAAGAGGAAATCCAAATGGCCAACAGGCACATGAAAAAATGTTCAAGATCACTAGCAATCAGGGAAATGCAAATCAAAACCACAATGAGGTTTCACCTCATCCCGGTTAAAATGGCTCACATTCAGAAATCTACCAACAACAGATGCTGGTGAGGATGTGGGGAAAAAGGGATTCTAACCCACTGTTGGTGGGAATGCAAACTGGTCAAGCCACTATGGAAGTCAGTCTGGAGATTCCTCAGAAACCTGAATATAACCCTACCATACAACCCAGCCATCCCACTCCTTGGAATTTACCCAAAGGAAATTAAATTGGCAAAAAAGCGGTCTGTACATTAATGTTTATTGCCGCTCAATTCACAATAGCTAAGACCTGGAACCAACCCAAATGCCAATCAGCAGTAGACTGGATAAAGAAATTATGGGACATGTACTCTATAGAATACTATACAGCAGTCAAAAAGAATGAAACCTGGTCATTTGCAACAAGATGGAGGAATCTGGAACACATCATGCTGAGTGAATTAAGCCAGTACCAAAGGGACAAGTCTCATATGTTCTCCCTGATCGGCGACAACTAACTGAGCACCAAAGGGGAAACCTGTTGAAGTGAAATGGACACTATGAGAAACAGTGACTTGATCAGCTCTTGTCCTGACTGTTGATGTACAATGTAATACTTTATCCATTTTAGTATTTTCTCTTTGTTTTGTTCTAGTACTATTGGTTGAACTCTGTAATTAACACACAGCTATTCTTAGGTATTTAAATTTTAACTGAAAAGTGATCCCTGTTAAATGTAAGAGTGGGAATGAGAGGGAGGAGATGTACAATTTGGGACGTGCTCAATTGGACTTGCCCCAAATGGTGGAGTTAGAATCATGCCAGGGGATTCCAATATAATCCCATCAAGGTGGCATGTACCAGTGCCATCTCACTAGTCCAAGTGATCAATTTCAGTTCACAATTGATCACACTGATAGGTCTAAGAGTAAAAGGGATCACACAAACAAGACTAGTGTCTGCTAATACTAACTGATAGAATCAAAAAGGGAGAGAACGATCCATCATGGGAAGTGGGATACACAGCAGACTCGTAGAATGGCAGATGTCCTAAATAGCACTCTGGCCTCAGAATCAGCCCTAAAGGCATTCGGATATGGCTGAAGAGCCCATGAGAGTATTTTAGGCATGGAAAGCCAAGACACTCTGGGGAAGAAAAAAAAAAAAAAAAAAAAAAAAAAAAAAAAAAAAAAAAAAAAAAAAGACCTAAATGAAAGATCTCTGTGAGTGAGATCCCAGGGGAAAGAATGGGGCCAGCAAAGAAGGAGGTACCTTTCTCTAAAGGGAGGAGAGAACTTCCACTTTGACTATGACCCTGTCGGAATAAGATCGAAGTCAACGAATTCAACAGGCTTCCATAGCCTTGGCAACTCATGACTAGAGCCTAGGGAGATTACTGATGCGATAAACAAGAGTGTCAAATTGTTAAGTCAACAACAGGAGTCACTGTGTACTTATTTCTCATCTTTCCTTAATGTGTGGTCCAATGTGAAGTAATGCTATAACTAGTACCGAAACAGTATTTTACACTTTGTGTTTCTGTGTGTGTGCAACTGATGAAATCTTTACTTAATATATACTAAATCAATCTTCTGTATATAAAGATAATTGAAAATGAATCTTAGCCGGCGCCGTGGCTCAATAGGCTAATCCTCCACCTTGCGGCGCCGGCACACCGGGTTCTAGTCCCGGTTGGGGCACCGGATTCTGTCCCGGTTGCCCCTCTTCCAGGCCAGCTCTCTGCTATGGCCAGGGAGTGCAGTGGAGGATGGCCCAGGTGCTTGGGCCCTGCACCCCATGGGAGACCAGGAAAAGCACCTGGCTCCTGGCTCCTGCCAGGATCAGCGCGGTGCGCCGGCTGCAGCGGCGGCCATTGGAGGGTGAACCAGCGGCAAAGGAAGACCTTTCTCTCTCTGTCTCTCTCTCTCACTGTCCACTCTGCCTGTCAAAAAAAAAAAAAAAAAAAAAAAGAAAATGAATCTTGATGTGAATGGAATGGGAGAGGGAGTGGGAGATGGGAGGGGTGCGAATGGGAGCGAAATTATGGGGGGGGGAAGCCATTGTATTCCATAAACTCTACTTTAGAAATTTATATTTACTAAATAAAAAAAAAGTAAAAAAAAAAAAAAAAGAGGGAGAAAGGTCTTCCTTTACCATTGGTTCACCCTCCAATGGCCGCTGCGGCCGGTGCACCATGCTAATCCAAAGCCAGGAGCCAGGTGCTTCTCCTGGTCTCCCATGTTGGTGCAAGGCCCAAGCACTTGGGCCATCCTCCACTGCACTCCTGGGCCACAGCAGAGCTGGCCTGGAAGAGGGGCAACCAGGACTAGAACCCGGGGTGCTGGTGCCGCAGGCAGAGAATTAGCCTATTGAGCCGTGGCGCCGGCCAGAGCCAATGTTTCAATACATAATATGTATGTATTTGTTTTTATACCAATGCAGTTGTATCATTAGAGAAAAAAACCACACTTCCAAAAGATGGAAAATGGGGCTGGTGCTGTGGGGTGGGGGCCCCCACTCTCCCTTTTTAGATCCTGCTCAGTGCAGTGGCCATGAGCAAGGCTGGAAGCAATGTCTCATCACCTGTGACCCATGGGGAACATTCCTTAGCCTCCCTTAGCCTCAGCTTCCTGGCCAGGAAAATGGGCACAGTAGCAGCCAACCTATCTCCCGGGGATCAGGAGTCTCTGGGCAGGCCTGGGGCCACTGTTCTCAGAGCAGTTATGGAAGACCTGAGGTTGGGTGGGTGTGGCAGGCCCTATGGTCACAGTGAGAGCTGACTCGCCTTCCAGTCTCCCTCAGCCACGGCCCCACTGGACCCCCGAGCGCAGATGTCATTGATGGCGGTTTAGAGCTGCCGGCAAGGCGAGGCACCAGGACATTTGGCTCTGCCGGGCTCCGTACATCATGCCTGTGCTTACTTGCGGCCAGAGGCTGTGTCCACACCTCTCTGCCCATCCCATCACACCCCAGCTCCAGGCCCTTGTCAAAGGAACCACCGAATGTGTCAGCCTCCCCACCCCATCTGGACTCTTCTGGTTGACAGCTGTCTCCTTCCAAAATCCTGCCCCGAGCCCGCTGCTCCCAACATCTCCTTCCTCCCCAACTTTTCAAACCACCTGCACTGCTGGATGCAGAGAGCGGGCCACAGCACTTGTCAGGCTGCCCATGAGCTACGCTCCGCTGGAGGGACACACAGGGGCAGTGGGCGCTGGGGCCTCAGGCGGCAGGCAGGGGGGTCCCACATGCCAGGGGATGGCCCCTCAGGCCCTGCTGAGATGCCTGCCTGCAGCTGCCGACTTTCTCGGCCTTGGGAGGGCAGGGGCAGAAGCTCCCAGAATGCCCTCTTCAGCTCCCAGAATGCCCTCTTCAGCTCCCAAGGAGCCTGCCCTCAGGGTGGCCACTGAACAGACAACTCTTCATTTTCATCCACCCCGTGTTTCCAAGAACCCCAGGGCTGGCTCCTTGGGAGGGATTGGGGACAGCGGGGACTGCGCATGTGAAACGCGGCTGACCGCTGCATGGCCGCCACAGCTGGCAGTCTGGAAAGTTCTCTTGCCAAGCTCCTGCACAGAGCTAACACAGGGGCCCCACCTTGGGTGTTGCAGGACGGAGTCCTGGTCAGAGGGGCAGCCTGCAGCCTGCAGGGGGGAGGGGGTGTGCACGTCTCTTGAGCCCGGCAGGCAAACAGCTTCCGTGGGGCACCAGGCTGCCGCCGTCTGAGACAATAAGGGCTTGTTATGAGATCAGGAACCAGAGGCAGCCCTGGGAGGCTGCCAGGCGCACACACAGGCACCACATCCAGCTGGGGGCAGGAGGGCGGGCCCCCAGGCAGTGGGCTGGAGCCAAGGCCCAGTGATTTTGAGAGCCAAGTGCAGGGAGGACTTTGCCCAGCTCTGCCTGCCCCGAGGGGCCTCTCCCACAGCACCTGTGTCTTGTGGGGCTGGGGCTGCCTCCTGCTGCCACGCAGCTCAGGATCCCACAGTGCACAGGGGCTCCATTCCCCTGGCCCAGACCTGGCGGTCTCCCTGCAGGCCCACGCAGGGCGGGGAGCGCTTTGGCCCTGTACACGGAAGGGAGATGCAGGCAGGGAGAGGGAGCGGCATTGGCGTAAAGGCCCCAAGCCTCTTGCTCTGGACACGATGCATTTTAATGGTTTCAGTGGCCTAAAGGCCACGTGTGGGAGGGCGACAGGGCTGTCACACGAAGTAGGCAGCCAGGGCGGACATCTTGTCCTTGGGCCGCCTGGGGTTGGGCTTCCCAGGGGGCCGCCGGCCCCGGGCCCGCCCCCGGCCCTGCCTCCGCCCTGGCCCGCCACGGTGCATGGGGTGGCAGGAGGCTGCATGCTTCAGCTCCACCAGCTCCTGGAAGACAGGGTCACAGAAGACGCAGCCCGTGTGCTGGGTCTCGTCGCCCGGGAGGGGGCACTTGGCCTTGTTGAAGTCCACGTGGAGCAGGGCGGCCTCGCAGGAGGGGCAGGTGTCGGCCGAGACCCGAACGCGGTACGCGTTCTCGAAGCAGTGGGCTACCACGTTGCACTTGTTGCACGCCACCTTCCACTTGGGGCCCGAGGTGGCGTCCAGCACCAGCACTCCGCGCTCGCACTCCACGCACTGGCCGATGCCCAGCATGCTCAGCGAGTGTGGGCAGCTGGGATGCGTGCACTCATTGCAGCCCATGCCTGGGGGAGAAGGAGCCTGGTGAGGCAGCCGGCCCTGCCCACTGCCCCCACGACCCCCCGGGGCCCTCCTCCCCAGCAGAAAGTGCTTCACGGGGCCTGGCACTTGGGGACGCCTTGGCAGCAGCACGACCACACCCCCATCCTAGTCTCTGTCAACCTTTAAGGCCCTCCAGGCTTCCGTCCTAGTGCATCCTAGCCAAGCCCATCCCCTTTGCTCCGCTTCCGCGGCTTGTCACCCGCAACCCCACCTGGCACCCTTGTCACTGGGCCCCATGGGGCTGTGGGGGGGTCTCAAAGCCGCTGCATGGCGGGGACAAGGCCTCCTTCCCCCAGCCTCCAGCCCCGGGGTGAACGTGCGTGGATGCCACACTCCTGTAGCTTCCTGGTCTGCGTTTGGGATGGCGCCATCCCAGGAGGCCATGAGAGACATGAGGGCCCGGCCCCTTCAGCCTGGGGCTCAGGGCTGGTGAGTGCAGGCAGGGCGGGGGGCGGGGGCAGAGCCCCTGGAAGCCACTCCCTGGACAGGCAGCAGGAGGGCTGGCCGGGCTCACCCTTCTTCATGTCTCGGAAGGGCGGGTGGTTGTAGCAGTAGGGGCACAGCGGGTAGGCCTTGCCCCGCGAGCCCGACGACCACAGGACCAGCTCAAAGTCATCAAGCGGGCAGCGCAGCTCCTTGTAGAGCTTGATGGTGCCGTTCTGGGGGAGGGTGTAGGTCTCGTCGCAGTGTGAGCAGTGCAGGCGGCTCGGCTTGGCCTGCGGTGAGGCAGGGGTGGGGTGTGAGGGCCTTCGCCTGCCCTCTTTCCCCGCCCCTGGCCGCGAGCCCCGTGGGTGGTGCTGGCAGAGCCACTGTGTGGCAGCCGGGACGGGGGCCGTCACCGCCGCACCGTGGTCACCCCACCTACCTGGATGTACTTCATGAAGCGGTGGCACTTGCCGCAGCGCGACAGGGGTTTGCCGGTGGCCGCCAGGGGCGAAAAGGACACCTCCATCAACTCATCCATGCCTGGGGGCGGGCGGAGGGAGGCGTCATGGGGGAGGGGGGAGAGGGGCGACCGGCTCAGTGGGGGCCCCTGGGGGCTGGAAGCAGCAGCACTCCCCTGCGGGCAGTGGGGCTTCCACCGTGAGGACAGGTAAGCAGGGCGGCATGTGGCCCAGGCCCCGTGTCCACGCCGTGTGAACAGCCACCCCCTCTGAGGGGGCCTGAGCCCAGATCTGGAGCTAGTCTTCCACGGGTGGGCGGCGCCTGGTCCCGATGCCTGGCTGCTGACACGGGAGCTCTGCTGGGGGCAGGGAAGAGGCAGGCCTTACCGGCGATGGAGTCCACGAAGTAGTGGAACTTGCGCTTGAAGATGTCCAGGGTGTGGCCCAGGACCTGGCGGTAGTCAGCCTTGCCCTGGGCGATCAGGTTCAGCTGCTTCTCCACGGCGCTGCGGATGGTGGGCAGCACCAGCTCTGCGTCTGGAAGCAGGCGAGGCCGCGGCCGCGTCACTAGGCAGGACCAGGCTCACGCACTGCCCCCTTCTCCTCCTCCTCCTGTCCACTCAACCAGATGATGGCACACACCAGGCTGCCTCCTATGCCCTGCCCCCCCCCCCCCCCCAGGCCTTTCCAGAAATCTTGGGCAGTGCAGCGAGGGACATCTCACTCCAGGACCGTCACAGACGAGCCGCTCGCCATCCCACGCACAGGCCCCGGGGAGGCTCACCGATCTTGTAGTAGCCGTGCACCAGGACGACGCCGAGGTTGGTGGGCTTGAGCCGGCGCCCGCTCTCCACGGTGACGTAGTTGCGCTGGCAGATGTTGTTGATGTGCACGGGGATGCTGGCGTCAGTCCCTAAAGCACACAGCAAGGCCCCAGCTGTGCCTCGGCCGGCCCCCCACTCTCCTACCCCAACCCCATGGGCTCCCGGTCTTTCCTCTCCATGCTGTGCCAGGCACATGGGTGCCTTTTGTGTCCTGCTCTCATGGCCCAGGGTGCTGATTCCCGCCTTATCATCGAGGGAGGCTAAGGAACTCTGCCCAAGCCAGAGCTTATTCTGGGCATGCGATGTCACCTCCTGGGCCTCTCCCGCCTGGACCCTGCGACGCCCAGCCCCCTCTCAGACCCCCTCTCTTCCCCCAGCAGCTTCACGAGCGAGTGTCTGGTGAGGTCCCAGGACCCACAGAGAAGGCTGCGGTTTGAGCCCCCAGGGCCTCTGGCTGTGTGTGCTACTGGGTCGGGCGCCGCCTGGGGTGCAGCTGCCAGGAGCCAGGGCATGGAAGAGGCGCCTAAGCCACGGCAGAGCAGAGCAGTGCCCACTCCACGGCAGGCAGCTCCTTTGAGAGCAGCAGCACCGGGAAGCCCCTGGCACCCCAGGCTCTCGGGAGCACCAGGCCTCCGGGATTCCAGGACAGAGCTGGACTGCCTGGGAGGACTTGGGAAGACGCTGTCCTGACTCTGGGGATAGCTGGGCCGTGTGGCTGGTCCCTTGGGGGGCGTGGGTTCACAGCGAAGGCCTGCCCGGCTCTGGCGGGGCGTGGGCCCCGGCCAGCGCTTGTCCCGGCGCCCCGGCGGGCGCGCTCACCAATGCCGTGCTTTTCCATGAGTGTGATGAGCTCGGCCTCGGTGAGATAGTCGGGGGGGCTGGTCTGCTTCTCCAGCATCTTCACCTCGGCCACGGCGAAGGTGTCGCCCCTCTGGCAGGTGGGCAGGCTCTCCTCCAGGGGCACGCTTTGCCAGGGCATGATCTCCGTGAAGCCTGGCGAGAGGACGGTCTTCCCCGAGCAGGTGAACAGCTCAGGGCCGATCCGCAGAGAGATGGTGGTCTGGAGGTACTTGCAGTCGTGGCTCACCGTGGCAATGAAGTGCCTGGTGATGTACTCGTACAGCCGCCACGCGTCGCCGCCTGCAACAGGCCCAGCGCTCGTCACCCTGCGAGCTGGGCCGGGGCTCCCGCTCGGGCACCGGATTCCAAAGCCCACAAACAGGAAAGCGAATGCACCCAAGGGAGACGAGCCCCCGTGCCCACCAAGTCCCTGTGGGGCCCCCTCTGCCCAGCTGCTGCCCTGTCCTGGTCCCATGACAAGGGCATACAGCCAGGTGGTCCCAGGGCCACCGGGGCCTGATCCTGTCCGGCAGGGGCCGTGCAGCTGGAGGAATGTGGGGGGGGAGGGTGTGTCGGGATGGGGCCGGGAGCACCTGGTACCTAATTCGGCCTCCGTGGCAGACCTCATGGGAGTGATGGGAGGGTGGTCGCCAGCGTCGTGGCCTTTGCGCGGGCGGTTGACACCTTCAGCTAACAGCCGCTTCACCTGCAGGAGAGGACGGAGAGGGGCCGAGTCGGGGCATGGGTTTGGCCAACGTGCCAGACAGCAGTCCAGGGCTTAGTGATGGGACGGCGGGGGCAGCCTGGCTCTCCTCACCGTGTCTGCCCAGTAGGGGTGGTTGGCCTGCTGTCGCAGGCAGCCCTTCAGGTCAAAGTTCTCAGGGTAGTGGGTGGTCTCTGTCCGCGGGTAGCTGATGTAGCCTTGCGTGTACAGCCGCTCGGCTGTCTGCATGGCGTGCTGTGGCCCCATGCCTGCAGGAGACAGGAGGCTCAGCACCCTCCTGGAGGGCTGCCCACAGGCTGCGCGCTCAGGCTCCACATAAGGTAGGCCTCTGAGCGGCTGGCTGGGGGGCCCCTGTCTGAGGCTCAGCTGCCCTCCGGGCCCCGGCATCACTGCCTGATAGGTGCTGAGCCCAGGGGTGGGGGTCAGCCCCGCCTGCACCCCTGGGGCTGAACGGAATCATCTCAGTGCATCCCAAGCAGTCTTTGGGGCCTCTAGAGAAACGCCCTACATACCCAGAGAAGAGCTGGCCACACGCAACATCTCCACGGTGTTCAGGGCCAGTGGCCTCTGCTTGGCCTTCTCCTTCCTGCTTGTGGCCTCCACCTGCAGGATGAGACGTAGGCAGTGATGCGGAGGTGGGAGGAGCCTGAAGAGAGACAATCCGAGCACGGGGCAAGGGGCCTGCTTTCCTTTGTCTCTCTGCTTCTCAAACCCCCTCTTCCCTGCAGTCTGGAGACCGGGTTCAGTGCTCGTTTGGGACCGGCAAGGGACACACAACAAGCCCTCTTTTCCAGATAATTGTCTAGGGAAGAGAAAACCCGGAGGAGTGAGCAAGAGGCAGGAAGAAGGGGCTGCAGGCATGGCTGGCAGGAAGCCAGGACTTTCACGTGACATCACACAATTGTTCAGTGTGGACAACTCTCTTGAAACTTGCAGCAACGCCACGCAAGACCGACTGGGATCCATCTGTGGGCTGTGCTGGCTGGTGAGCTCCCCCTTCCACCTCTGGAAGGCACTCATCAGAAGACAAGGCAGAAACAGTCCCAGCGACTCTGCCCAGGGCCTGGGCCTCGGCCAATCCCCGGCCACGCCGGATTCCAGGCCCACAAACGTGGGTGCTAATGCTGAGGCTGCCTGTGGATATGCAGCAGTGGAGCCCAGGGTTACGCGGGGTGATCTGGAGGCGGAGCCGGGGCCTCTGCAGGAATGCGACCCATGGGAACGCCTTCAGAAGTTCTGGAGCCTGAGAGGGCTGCATGGGTGGGCCAGCTGGCATGCGAGGAAGGGCAGGGTGGCTGAAGGTGGCCCGGCCACACCTTGATGGCTCTGGCAGCTTTCAGGGCCACGGAGCATCTGCAGAGCATGCCCTGTGCCCGTCACCCCACCCTCTTCCTGAGATTGAGTCACACACACTCTGAGCAGGAAATACAACACCATGGAGGTGCCAGGCGGATGGATCCCAGACAAGTCCCCAACTTGCCGTGTGGCCCTGGCCAAGCTCATCACAGAGGTCCCTCTGCAGCTACTAGCCCCCGAGATCACAGAGAAGGGACACCTGTGACATCTGCCCACTGGGTCACGTGGGAAGGGCCTGGCAGGTCCCAGGTGTGGACATGGGTGCCCCACAGCTGCCGCGTTGGGAGAACTATCTTAGGAGTGGATGCATGAGCCAGGGGGACAGGTGTGGGTGGGGCGGGGCCATACCTGGGCTTCCTTCTCCTGCTTTGTCATGTTTAAGAACATCTGTGCGATCTCCCGGTCGAACACTCTCACTCGGTCCCAGTCCAGAAGCAGCGACCTGTCTTTGTCGACGTTCACCTGCAGGACGGAGGACAGGAGGTGAACACATGAGGAGAAGCGGGCGGCGAGCCCAGCGCCTGGGCTGGGCCTTGTCTGGGAGCCACGCAGCCCTGGCGCTGGCGTCTGCACCTGCTCAGGTGTGCTGATCCCGGCCTGAGCCCTGGTCTCGCTCAGGGTGGGTGGGGTGGCAAGGCTGACGGTATCACATCCTTAGTAGCACCTGAGCCTCTGCCGCACACCCAGGGTCCCTGTCAGTCACAGCAGCTCCAGTGTCATGTTATAAATCCTACAGCACGCGTCTGTGGAGGGTTTTATTTGAGGAAAGCGCCCTAGGACTTCCTAAAAAAATTATTTTTGTTTATTTGAAAGGCAGAGAGACAGAGATGAGATGTCCCACCCGCCGATTTCGCTCCTCAAGTGCCTTCACAGCCGGGAGCTGGGAGCTGAAGCCAGTCTCTCAAGGGGGTGGCGGGGACACAGGTGCTTCAGCCATCACCACTGCCTTCCAGGGTGGGCATCAGCAGGATGTTGGAACTGGGAGAGAGCTGGGACCTGCACCAGCCACTCGGATATGGATATGGGACGCAGCGTTCCCAGGACTGTCTGAACTGCTACACCTGGCTTTCTAGAATTTCCAAAAAGTTTAAAAGCTCAGGGCCTTGGTCCAGTGATCAGATGTGATTTTACCCTCGATTGCCAGAGCCAGCCTTGTCCCCACTCATCCAAATTCAGCGTCCCCAGGCTCAGCCTAGCCGGGGGCACCACAGGCCCACAGTGGCACCCTTACCCCTGAGGCCTGCAGGAGGAGGATGATGGTGATGACACAAGGCTTTCAGAGTCCACCCCCCCCAAACCCAGACACACACACACACACACACACACACACACACACAGAGCAGAGGAGGCACCTTGGCCTGCAGCACCCAATAGGCCTCCGGCTTGAAGGACTGGATTTTGTCATGCCTCTCCACACAGAAGCCCAGCGTAGGAGTCTGGCACGGCCCAAAGGAGATGAGAGAGCTGTCCAAATCGCCGTATTTCCCCTGGAAGTACTTGGTCTGGAACCTGGGTGAGGGTGGGGTGCGAGAGAGAAGCCATTTGGTTAAGGATTTGCCTGAGACCCCACCGTGAGTGCCCCCGGGGCTGGGGTGGTGAGCGCAGGGCAACCGGAGGTGGCAGCAAGAGGCAGGGAGGAGCCCTGGGGAGGAGCCACGCGTGCACGGCTGGGAAAGCCAACAGGAACACGAAGCTGGGTCCCAGTGGGCCAGGGAGCCCTGCTAATGGGTAGCCCTGCCACACCCCCTCAGGACCCGCGTGCCAGTGGGCCCACGCCGCCTATCCAGCAGCGGCCGGCACAGTGAAAATGCCGAGGCGCAGGGCAGGCACCCAGCGCACCTGGTGAAAGCACAGCCGATGCGCAGGTCCAGCTCCTGGCGGGCGTCCACCGACAGCGCCTCGTTGTGGTCCGGCTCGCCCAGGCGGGCCATGGCGTTACAGATGTCTGTGTCTGTGATGGAGCTGAACCTGGCCCGGAACACAGTCTTCTCGCCGCCGTGGGCCTTATTCATGACGGGGACGACGGCATCAAGGACCTGGTGGGAAGCCATCCGGCTGGGATCGCCTCTGCCCCCCATCTCCTGTCCCACCCCTCAGCCGTCAGGCCCGGCTCCTTCTGGGGCCCAGCCTCAGCACGCGTGTGGCCCCCTTCAACAAGACCCCTGCCGTCTTCCTGCCTTTCCAGGAGCCTCCATCTTGCGCAGACCCCTCACCCACGGCTACATTGCCATTCACATGCCCCTCCCCACTGCCGCCCTGCAAGCTGCCCCCCACCGCTCCTCCCCCTGCTGCCAGGCACACAAGGGACCTTGCAGTCCCCAAATCCACTGGAAGCCTACTCTTAGGAGGAGGGTGTGCTGGGCGTAGGTACGTGAGACTTTGAAGAAACTGGAGAAATATAGGGCAGGAAAAAAGCCCAGCAGAGGCAAAGGCCATGGCCAGTGGGAAGGGGCCAGGTGGGCCCAGCTGCGGCTTGGGGGTGGGGGTGTGTGGGGTCCCACAGCTGAGACTAGGAGGGCTGTGCGGAGGGAGGGGACAATGTGTGAGCGAGTCTGCTCTCGTTGGAACCACCTCCTGCATCCTGAGTTTGCCAAGCCCTGGGCCGCACTGGGGGTGCCAGGGCGTCTGGGTGACCCTGTAAAGACCCACAGCCTGAGGGGCACTGTGGGAGGAGCAGTTGGGTTGCAGCCACCTGCTTTCCTGGAGGGAGGGCTGGATGGGTGGAGGTGGGTGTGGGGAAGAATGAAGCCTGGGACAGGAGGGTGGTGCCAAGGCCAGGTGTCAGCTGGCATTGTCTGAAGGTCCCTGAGATGGCCCTACGTTGGGCCAGCCTTCCAGACCAAACTTGCACCACCCCACAGAACACCCCGCCCCTGCTACGCCTCACTCAGCCTCGCGTCCCCAGCAAGGGCACTAGGATTTTCTGAGATGAAGCAGAGAAGGGCCTTTTTGAGCCATTAAGAATGATTCCATGTGGCAGCCCCAGGCCTGGAGGACTGTGTCAGTGCGGAACGAGTGGCAGAGAGGTGGAAAGTGGGCCCTGTAGGGGGCACCCCACTCACCTCAAAGCAGATGTTCTCCCCTTCCTTGTCACAGTCCAGCCACAGCACGATGTAGTCGCAGCCCCTGCCCTCCACCTGCCACAAGGCACACGTGAATGTGAACGGGTGCCTGCTGCAAGCCCCGCCCCCAGCACAGCTGCCCAGGGGGCTCCCTGCCTGGAACAGGAGGCGGAGCCTGAACCCCAGGTTAGGAGGACGGTGCCCAGGCTGGGCCAGGACTGGCTGCAGTGAGACTGGCTCAGCCACTCAGGAAACACTCTGGTTCACAATTGCTGGTTTGGGGCTGATGTGTAGCACAGCAGGATAAGTCACTGCTTGTGACCCCAGCATCCCACACGGGTGCCGGTTTGTGTCCTGGCTACTCTACTTGACCCAGCGCCCTGCTCCCTGGGAAAAGCAGTGGAAGATGTTCCAAGTACTTGGGCCCCTGCCAAAGCCTGGATGATACTCCTGGTTCCAGAGACAGATGGAGAGACAGAGAGTTACCTCCCATGCGTATGTTCACTTCCAGATGGCTGCAACAGCCAGGAGCCAGGAGCTTCGTCTGGGTCTCCCACGTGGGTGCAAGGGCCCAAGCACTTGGGTCATCTTCCACTCCTTTTCCCAGGCACATTAACAGGGAGCTGAATCGGAAGTGGAGCAGCCAGGACTTGAACCTGCCCCTGAATGGGAATGCCGGCATCGCAGGTGGTAGTTTTATCTACTATGCCACAACGCTTGTCCCTAAATAAATACATCTTAAAAAAAAAAAAAAAAAAACTGCTTGTTTGTGGACAGAAACAAAATCTGAACTGCTATGATGTTAACCCCAAAACTACCTAGAGAAACGGCTGTGTAGAGTTGCTCTCAATGCTGACAGAGGCCACTCTAGGTGGGGAGACCATGATTATGGTTTCTTCTTTCTCCTTATGTATATCCTCCTATTTCCCACAACGTGAAAGTACTTGCTTTACAATTAGGGAAGAAATCCCAAGCAAACAAATTACTGTATTTCAAAAGCAGAGCGGGAACAAGTGTACAGCAGCAGGTAAAGATGCTGCTTGAGGGTTAAGCAGTGCCGGCACCCTTAGGAGTGCAGGGTTTGAGTCCCAGCCGTTCCACTTCCGATCCAGCTCCCTGCTAGTGCACCTGGAAAAGCAGAGGGAGATGGCCCACATGCTTGTATCCCTGCCACTCACATGGAAGACCTGGAAGACACTGCTGGGGAGGGAACCAGTGGACGGAAGATCTGTCTCTCTTTCTCTGTAACTCTGATTTTCAAATAAATAAATAAATCTTTTTTTTTTAAAAAAAAGGGGCCGGCGCTATGGCATAGTGGGTAAAGCCGCTGCCTGCAGGGCCGGTATCCCATATGGCGCTGGTTTGAGTTCCAGCTGCTCTACTTCTGATCCAGCTCTCTGCTATGGCCTGGGAAAGCAGTAGAAGATGGCCCAAGTCCTTGGGCCCCTGCAACCACGTGGGAGACCCAGAAGAAAATCCTGGCTCCTGGCTTTGGATTGGCGCAGCTCCGGCCGTTGCGGCCATTTGGGGAGTGAACCAGCAGATAGAAGACCTCTCTCTGCCTCTCCTTCTCTGTCTGTATAATTCTGACTTTCAAAATAAAATAAAATCTTTAGGGGCCAGTGCCATGGCGCAGTATGTTAATCCTCTGCCTGTGGCGCCAGCATCCCATATAAGGGCTGGCTGTAGACCCGGCTACCCCTCTTCCAATCCAGCTCTTTGCTATGGCCTGGGAAAACAGTAGAGGATGGACTGCACCACATGGGAGACTGGGAAGAAGCTCCTGGCTCCTGGCTTTGGATCACCGCAGCTCTGGCCGTTGCAGTCATTTGGGGAGTGAACCAGTGGAAGGAAGACCTTTCTCCCTATCTCTCCCTCTCACTGTCTGTAACTCTACCTCTCAAATAAATAAATAAAATCTTAAAAAAAAAAATCGTTAAGAAGAATAAAGAAGATGATGCCTGGGACCCGCAAATCCCATACTGGAGTGCCTGTGTCCGAATCCCAGCTCGGCCTCCGTTCCTGCTTCCTGCTATAGCACACTCTGGGAGGCAGTGGGCAACAGCTCAAGTAGTGGGAGACACGTCTGATTGCTGGATCCTAATTCTGACCTGGTCATTGCAGGCATTTGGGGGAGTGGACCAGTGGATGAAAGATCTCTCTCTCTCTCTGTGGCTCTGCCTTTCAAATAAATAAACACATACAACAGAATAAGAAAAGCTGGGAACTGTGCAGCGAGTTGCTGTGTGTGATGCTGATATCCCATAGTGCAGTGCTGGTTTGAATCCCACTGCCTTTGCTTCCAGCTTCCTGCACCCTGGGAGGCAGCAGATGACGGCTCAAGTGCCTGGTAGCTGCTGCCCAGGTGGGAGACCCGGATGGAGTTCTGGGATCCTGGCTTGGCATGGCTGGGCCCTGGCTGTTGTGGAAACTTGAGGAGTAAACCAGCAGATGGAAGATCCTTTCTGTCTTTTTCTGTCACTCTGCCTTTCAAGCGGATGAAAATGAGAGAGCAAACATAAAAAAAAAAAAAAAAAAAGAGAGAGAGAGAGCAAGACGCTTGCGCTCTCCAGGACTGAGCGACAGGCGTACTCAGCCTGGCTGGATGTGCTTGGGGGCACCAGGCCTGAAGGGGCCGTGTGGGCCTGCGGGGGATGTAGAAGGGGCAGAAAGGCCTCCCCGTGAGGGCACAAGCACTCGAACTGTGGCCAGCTCCCGGCTCCCGCCCACTGTGCCCACCGCTCGCACCTGCAGGAACTTCACCATGTTCAGCTTGGGATTGGCTTCCTTCTTCTCGGTCGGGGCTTGGCTGAACAGCTCCGCGGGGTCCACCTTGTCCCACTTGTTGTACTTCCCTACAAACCAAGGCCGTGATGCGCAGTCACACGCCATAGCTCGCGGGGGTCAGCCTCTGCCACCTGCTGACCCCTCATTGGGCGGCTTGGAGAGCCACTGGCCCAGGGTCCCCTGACAATCAGAGACGGGGTAGGGCATGGGTTTGGGTCTTGGGCTAACACCCACCGCCCTGCCTTCCTTCTGCTGGGTAGGGCTGGGCAGGGCCTCTGCTCTGGCCTCACTTCCAGGGCTTCCCTGCGGCTGGAAGCTCCAGTCTTGGGCTGGCTCACTTTGTCAGAGCAGAAAACACTCCTGCCTCTTAAGGCCCAGCTCTTGCACGCTGGGTCCTTGGCTTGCTTGGAGACCCTATTTCTTGCAGCCTGGGAGAATGGGGTCAGACAGATTCAAGTTCGAATCCTGGCTCTCCAGTTTTGCCAGCCAGATACAGAGTTTGGAGCCCAGCTCTATCTATCCCTTTCTGTCACCGCTGAGCAGTGAGAACCACCACAGAGGCCTTGCTGCGTTGGGCAAGACCCACAACGAGAGCTCTGCCTTTCCAGTGGCATGGTGCCTCAGCAATCCTGGGCTGCAGGGGGTTTGGGTGTGAGGCCCCCCTCCCCCCGCAAGAACAGAAGCTCACGGAGGCCGGAATAACGTGAGCATGACAACAACAGCTGCTAAGTGGCAAGTGCCTGCGTGGGCCAGGCTCCTCACCCCCTCAGCCACAGGAAGGCGCCCAGGGCAGGCAGTGACCGCGGGGACTCAGGAACGCTGACCTCCAGGGCCTGGGTTCTGGGTGCCTCACCCAGGAACCCCTGGTCATCACTCTAACATTTGCCGGCTTCAAGACTCAAGTGTTCGGGACAGAGTTCTCTGTCAAGACGTGTACCTAGCTCTGGCTGCACCCCGGGCTGCACAGTGTAGGCTGGGGTGAGAGGGCGGGGAAGGGGTGCACTCACCCAGGAAGTCCAAGGTCATCACGTGACCACAGACGGATGTCATCTTGAAGCGGACAGGCTGGCCGGCGAAGGTGCCAGTGTACTCGTGCACTGAGCATGCGCCATTGAGCCCCTTGTGCGAGGACATGTTCCCTGGGGGAGAAGCACACGGATGCAGATGCTGGGGAGACCCTGGGCCCGGCCGCCGTCTCCCGGAGAGCCAGAGCCCTCCTTTTCCCGAGCGGCCTGGGGAGAAACGCTCCTCAGGCCCTGCCGGCAGTTGGGTGCTGAGACACAGCCGTGCCCAGGGAAGCAGCACCTGCAAACCGCCGGCCTGGAGTGGGCCCGTGCCAGCTGTAGCCAGGACGGGGTACCCGCGGGCTCTCTGCTCTGTCCGCCCTCCTGGTTTCACCCTTCAGAGTGACTGCTGCTTCATTTTCATGCAAACTTGACTCAAAGGTCACTGAGAGCCCTAACGAGTGGATCCTGCGGTGGCCTCACCCGCTCAGCCCTGGGTAGCAGGCACACTCCGGGGGCCTCAGCCCTGCTAGACCACGCCTCGCAGCTGTGTGAGGGGCTCTTCCTCCCCCGCTGCTGGGCCAAGAGTGAGGCAAAGTGTGCACCTGCCATCCCTTGGTGCCCAGCAGCCAAATACTCCTTGATTGGGAGGGGATTTCATGGATGGGAGGAGACACCGCCCAGCCGGGCCCCGGGCAGCCGGCGCAGGTGAGGGCAGGCATGCCCTCTCCAGCTCCCTGGTGCTTCAGGAGCACCTGCGGCCACTCCTGAGCGAGCAGAGGAGCAGGGGCCGAGCCAGGGGGCCAGCAGGCAGTGGTGCGTCCAGGGGTGGCTGAGACGGGGGGTGAGACCCTGACTCAGTCTTCCTCCTTCCGGGACGGGTTCCTGCTGCTTGGGGCCCACACCCCTGCTGCCACAGCGCTCAGACCATGACAGCCCCTTCCCCTGCCCTTGAATTAGGCCTTGTTCCTTTTGAGTGCGCACACAAATGTGGCCCGCGGTCGCTTACGCTGAGGTGCGGCTTCATTAGTGCCTGCTGACCTGCAGCAAACCAGGCCCAGCTGGGAAAAGAAAGAAACGTCCAGAAAGGCTAAAAGCACCAGGACCATGGTTACGGACCAAAGCACTTGGGGGGCGGGGGAGGGGGGTTAAGGGCCTACCTCGAGAGAGGATCTTGGCGATGGACTGGGCCAGGGACGGCTTTTCCGCCACCATGAGCACTGTCTTCATCCTGACTCTGGGCTGTCAGGGTCCTCAGCCCCTCACTCCACAGGTACCGGGCGACAGCGAGGCTCAGAGACGGCTCTTCCGCAGCTCCCACGCAACCCACACTGCCACCAACGGAACTCAGTTCAAAACCAAACACACACCCTGAGAAAAAAACAAGAAATGAGGCAACCTGGATGGCCTGAGACAGCAACAAGTGCCCAGGTCACCCGCGGACTCAGAGACGGCCCTAGGGATGTGGCCTTGTTTGGAGGGAGCTCATGTGCTCCCACTGGCCTGCAGGCCAGGATGGAGGCACCCTCCCACGCAAGGGCATGCTGGTCTCCCCAAGCAGAGGGGCCCCGTCACGGCCTCTGTCCTGCTGGCTCCCAGGGGTGACGCACCCCTGCCTAGTCTGAGTCCCATTTGGAGAATGCAGGTGCCCAGACAGGGCATCTGTCTCTGGAGCCAGGAGCATCATCCTGGTCTCCCACATGGGTGGCTGGGGTCCAAGGACTTGGCCATCCTCTGCTGTCTTCCCAGGCACATTAGCAGGGAGCTGGAGCAGAGGTGGAGCAGCCAGCACTCTGGATAAGGGATGCTGGAGTTCCAAGTGGCAGCTTAAGCCGCTATGTCATGATGCTGGCTCTGTGAACCACCCTGGCAGGATGAACCACGTCCTCCTGCGCCCCGCGCCTCTGTCCCAGCCCACTGCACTGCACGCCACAGCCTGTGACGGCCTTGTCCTCCCACCGGGACCCTAGCTTAATGTCTACATCACTGCAACAGCCGTCTCTGCCGGATACATCATGGCTAACACCTGTCGGCAGAGCACAAAGTAAAATAAAATAAAATAAAACCAAAACAAGACACACAGGCTCTTTCTACCTGTTTGATCATCACAGATGCAGCAGTGGTATTTGTAAATGTAGCAGGGTGTTTTTAACAACAGCCTCATATGGAGACAATTGGCCAGTTTTTTTGGGGGGGGGGGAAGAAAATATGAAGATTTCCATTTTGAAACTTCCGCCAAGGAGCAGGCGTCGGCACAGTGCTGAAGATGCCAGCATCCAGGTCCCGGCTCTGCTTCTGACCCCAGCTTCCTGCTGATGCACACCAGGGGAGGTGGTGGGTGACAACTGAGGTAGGTGGGTCCCTGCCACCCACACGGGAGACCTGTACTGAGCTCCCGGCTTCAGTCCGTTCCAGTCCCAGTCACTGCAGGATTTGGGAAGTGAACCAGTGGATGGGAGATCTCTCTCTCTTTCAAATAAGTCAACAATGACCAAAAAAAACCAAACCAACCAAACCAAACCAAAAAAATCAGAGCTAAAATGAGTTCCTAGGAGAACTTCAGAAATTCATGGAAAGGTGAGTGATGAAAAAACTAGGCCTGGATTTCAAATTCTGCACCAAAATAAACTTACCCTGTAATTCCTTTTCTGTGAACTCTTTAACTATCCTCATGGTTCTCTCACTAGCAAAAACCCGAGTCTAAGCCGGCGCCGCGGCTCACTAGGCTAATCCTCCGCCTTGCGGCACCGGTACACTGGGTTCTAGTCCTGGTTGCCCCGTTCCAGGCCAGCTCTCTGCTGTGGCCAGGGAGTGCTTGGGCCCTGCACCCCATGGGAGACCAGAAGCACCTGGCTCCTGCCTTCGGATCAGCGTGGCATGCCGGCCGCAGCGCGCTGGCCACGGCAGTCATTGGAGGGTGAACCAATAGCAAAGGAAGACCTTTCTCTCTGTCTCTCTCTCTCACTGTCCACTCTGCCTGTCAAAAAAAAAAAAAAAAAAAAAGAGTCTGGACACTTGGGAGGAGCAGGCGCACAAGCACGCACGGATGGGGACACACACTGGAACCGCCCCAGCCTGCAGCAGACTCGGCACTTCTACTTCCAGGAATGACCCAGTTACAGCAGTTGCTGACTCAGCACCCCCTGCACACTGGGCCAGTGCTGGGTGCAGAGCCCACTGCACAGAGCGACAGCATGCCCTGTCTTTCCAGAACTCGTGCAAGTACCAGGGAGCCAGCAGCTGGGAGGGTCTGGGAGTTACAGGGCTGGGCCAGGGGCTTCTGGGGAGAGCCCAGGTAAAAAGATTAGGGGATGGCCGGGCAGCCTGGAGGAACAGCAAGGAGGCTGCTGGGGTCCCTCAAGCCTTGACTGAGGGTTGGCACTGGGGGGCAGTGGAGGGTTCGACAGGACTGAGGTGATCTGACCTCAGGTCTTCAATGAACCCTTCCCGAAGTCAGAATGTGGACAAGACCAGGAGGGGCAGGAGGTGTGACAGGCAGCGCAAGGGTTTCTTGCTAAGGCTGCTGAAGGGGTGTCCGCTGATGGAGGCGGAAACAGCAAGGAGGGAGCAGTTCTAGCCGGAATGAGAACAGCCAACGTGGTGGCCCTGGAGGAGGTGATGCACGGAGGAGTGATCTAAAGGGCAGAAGCCAGGCTGGAGGCCGGGAAGAGAGGAACCAGCAGGGGGAGTCGGGACAGGCGGGCAAGGTGGCCTCTGAGACCTGGCAATCCAAGGGCCCAGGTGACCCTCATGGGGTCCTTTGGTGAGAGACAGAGGTGAAAGCTGAGTGGGTGGGCACTCAGGAAGGACTGGGAGAAGGGGAGGGGAAGACACACCAGTGTGTTTGCATGTGGCTGGGGCTGCCCTGCAGAGGACCAGAGGAGATGCAGGGGCAGAGGGGCTGACAGCCCGTGCACCCGGGAGGGGGATCGAGGGGGTGACAGGCAACCGGCCAGCCTTGGTGAGGAGAGGAGGGAGGGCGTGTCCAGGCAGTGCGCCAAGGTCCAACTTCTCCTGATGGAAGAGGAAGAGGAGGCAGAGGGAGGCCTGGTGGGGGTGGGTAGCAGGAGTCCAAGGAGGCCACTCTCAGGGGCAAGATGACCGACTCGGGACCCGGAGTGAGCTGTGGGGGCCGGCAGTGCTGTCCACGTGGACACTGAACATCCCCTCCCGCGGCCAGGACAGGGCAGCGCGGGAGCGACCCTGGCTGGTGCACACAGTGGAGCACACTGCTGGGCAGGTCTCCTACAGTGCGTGACCTGGCGTTCACCACGGGGAGCCGGGCAGCCCAAGGCCTGCCCCTCTGTGCAAGGCCACACCTGGCAGTGGCGAGGAAGGGACATCTGCTGTGGGGGCACGTGAGGGGGCGATGTACCTGGTCACACAGGTGCTTGTTGACAAAGGGCAGACATGTCTGCAGGGGACCTCAAAAGGTCAGAGCAGAGTGTGTGTGTGTATCAGGGCCTGGGGACAGGGCTGAGGGGGCTCCTGCCCACCATACCCCATCTTGCACCTTTTACCTTTGGTGCTATGGACACGTGTGATGGGTCAATAGGAACTAAGACAACGGATTTAAGAAAAGACGTAATAGGCGCGGCTGTTTGCTACAGCAGGTAAGATGCTGGCTAAGACACCCGCGTGCCATGCTGGGGATTCCACACTCAGCCCCTGCACTTGACCCCAGCTTCCTGCTAATGCTGACCCTGAAAGGCAGCAGTGGTGGCTCAAGTAGTTGGGGTCTTGCCACCCACGTGGCAGACTCAGACTGAATTCCCGGCTCTGGGCTATGGTCTGGCCTAGCCCCAGCTGTTGCAGCCATCTGGGGAGTGAACCAACGAATGGGAGAGCTCTCTCTTTTCCTGTCACTCTGCCTTTCAAACAAACACATTTAAAAAAACATTCTTTGAGGTCTCTAAAATTTTAAAACTGATTTTAGGGTCTGGCGCTGTGGCATAGGTTAAGCCTTCGCCTGCGGTGCTGGCATCCCTTGTGGGTGCTGGTTCGTGTCCTGGCTACTCCTCTTCTGGTCCAGCTCTCTGCTTATGGCCTGGGAAAGCAGTGGAAGGTGGTCCAAGTCCTTGGGCCCCTGAACCCACATGGGAGATCTGGAAGAAGCTCCTGGCTTCAGATCGGCACAGCTCTGACCATTGCGGCCATCTGGGGAGTGAGCTAGTGGATGGAAGACCGTTCTCTGTTTCTCCCTCTCTCTGTAACTCTACCTCTCAAATAACTAACTAAATATTAAAGAAAAAAAAAGTGACTTTAAATCTTTTGAAAACACGTCCCCTTGGTGTTCTTTTTTCCCATGGTGTCAAAATTCCATCTCTACTGCTCCCTTCAAACCCAAGTACTTGAGTTTTTCGACAAAGAGCGAGCAAGCTGACTAGTCACTCCAGAGAGACACATTTTGTCTCAGCATCATCTCCATTATCTTAGATTATCTCAAGTTATCCAGGAGCAGGGCTACCTCTGGGCAGCACACATCAGGGCACGTGTGTTTCAGATAGCCTGTCCACCTGTCAGGGCATGCAGCTGCTACTCATCTCTCACATGCACCTATAGCATTGGCTCTAAAAAAAAGAAAAGGAAAGAAAAGATGCCCGTTCTTGGGACAGATGTTTAGCCTGGCGGTTAGGGTGTCCACATTCAGCATCTGAATGCCTGGGTCTGAGTCCTGGCTCTGGCTCCCAACTCCAGCTTCCTGCTAACGCAGCCCCTGAGAGCCAGTGCTGACATCTCAAGTAGCTCGGTTCCTGTCAGCATGCGGCACTACGTTCCCAGCTCCCAGTTTTGCCTGGCTACTGCGGCTGTTTGTGGGGTGAGCCAGTGGATGGGACTTTACACTCTCTGTTGGTCTTTTTCTTAAATAGTTAAAAAGAACAACAACAACAAAAAGGAAATATAAGTCCTGGTTCAACGTCTTATACTTCAGCAGTGGATGCACATCTGGTACTATTTCGAGTGTCACTGTTTTACTGGGGAAAAGCCCCACTGCGTCCTAGGATCCGGAATCCCGGAATCCCGGGGCACGGGCCTCACTGACACCTGGCGCAATCGTCTCAAAGAGGAACAAACCCAGAGGAAGTGATTTCCAAAGGTCGCCCGGGACGCTGGCCGGGTCACGCTTCCTGCTGGCCGAGTACGCTTCTCTTCAGCAGCATCAGGTTCCACAGAGTTACACAGAGAGAGGGGCAGCGGGCGTGAGACAGAATCTCCCATCTGCCGGTTCACTCCTCAAACGGCCACAGCGGCCTGGGGCCTGGCCGAAGCCAGGGTCCTGGGCTCCACTTCTGACAAGGTGGCTGCAGTCTTAATGGGGTGCATCCGTCCTGACCCAGCCGGGGGCCCCCTTATTTTCTCAGTGGCAGCCAGTGAGAGGCAGCCTGAGGACATGGCTTCCGAAATCCACTTCCCCTGCTCATGTTCCTGCTCTACCAACACGAGTGTTCACTTGAGCTGCTGCCTTTAAAAAAAGAAAAAAAAAAAAAGCCTAATTGGATCAAAATGGCCAGAAACTGGCTCTTATGGTCAACCAGAGGGTGCACCGAGTTCAATCCTGTTGCTGGCCAAAGCCTGCAGTCTGACTTCCTACTTCCAAGACGGAGCTAGGCGAGGGCTAACGGGGTGCTGACATCCAACATTCCGCAGTGGGACTGGGATTAGGACTCGAGTCGAGTGGAGGATGAGCGGCAGGCCAGCCTGCCAGTGCTCGGCCCACCGCCAGCAGAGGGAGCCCCTGGGAGACAATGCACTTACACGGGTCTCCTTTCACGTCCGGGTCTATGCCCAGGTCGGGTGATCCTGCCAGTGGAGGCCTGGCGGTAGCCCGAACAACACTCAAGCGTCCGAGGAGTTCCTAGCTCAGTAGAAGAGCTGGTTAAAAAGAGGCTGCATCAGAATCTCCCTGGGGAAAGATGGAGAAATCTCACACTTCAAACAAACAGCTAGGAGGGAGACACACAGGGGAGCTCCTAAAACCATCAGTGGACGGGCACAGGTGTGGAAAGATGAGACATCTCGTGAGACAGAGCCCAGAGTGGGAGGAGGAAGAAAAGGCAACTCCCCTCTTGACTTCTGATGAGAATCAGGGGGCTTGGGAGGTCCTTCTGAGTCAGTCCCACCAGGAGCCCTTGACAAACTTCATGGTGCAGCCTGAACGGGAAGAGACATGCGAGAGTCACCCGGATGTACTCTTTCCTGATGCATCAGCCAGAGGGCACAGGAATCTCCACAGAGAAAAACCAATGGTGTCAGGGTTGGGGGGGAGGGGGTTGCAGGTTCTAATATCTTTTTTTAAAAAAATGCAAATCAGGGAGGGGCCGGCACTGTGGTGTAGCAGGTAAAGCTGCCAACTGCAGTGCCGGCATCCCATGTGGGTGCTGGTTCGAGTCCCGGCTGCTCCACTTCCGATCCAGCCCTCTGCTATGGCCCGGGAAAGCAGTGGAAGATGGCCCAAGTGTTTGGGTTCCTGCAGCTGCTTGGGAGACCTGGAAGAAGCTCCTGACTCCTGGCTTTGGATCAGCTCAGCTCTTTCCATTGTGATCATTTGAGGAGTGGACCAGCAAAATGGACGACCTTTCTCTCTCTGGCTCTCTCTCTCTCTGTAACTCTTTCAAATAAATAATTCTTAAAAAAAAAGAAAGAAAGAAGAAAGAGTCTTAAAAAATAATTCTGGCCCCTCCCCCACCTACAGAGCAGCCGTGGAATGTGGCTTGGGCAGGTGGGATGGGCTGCTGGCGGAGGACGCTGGATAAGGGATGCCTGAATATCCCATACTCTCGGGATGCCCTCAGAGAGAGGATACTAGGAGGACAATCCTGATGGGCCATCACACGGGCTAACTAACATAGTCAATAAACCGGCAGGGAAGGCGGGCATTGGTGACCCCCTTACAGGCTGGCTAGAAGGATACCGTGGAAAACGGAACAGTGCTGTAACTTCAATCCTCATCTCTCAGAACTGAGCTGGAATCCTGAGCCAAACGGTTGAAGAACAAAGAATAGGAGTCAAAATGGGACCGAAAAAGTGTAAACATGGAAAGAGGAGGAATTCGCCAGCAGGTCTGGTGGTCCATTTTCAACACAGCGGGGACCTGCAGAGGTAGCAACTTCACTAGGCAAACTCCTGGTTGTTCCGGAGTAGCCAAGTCCCAAGGGGGAGACTACAGTGAGTGCAGGAGGTAACTCTGTAGCGCAGGGAGGTCTGGGAAGTGTACACCCGCAGGACTCAGCCAATGAGGGCCCTGCGTGCTAGTACACAGCTTGCTTGCCGTACCTGCTCTGGGTGTACCTGCTCATCGGACACCCGACCTTGCAAGACCGCTGAGGCCACCTCTCGAGTGCACAGTGTGGACAGGGGAGGGTATCCCCCACACCCTATACCCAAAGAATCAGAAAAGGAACAACCCTTTCTTAAGCTCCTCTGGGCCGGGCACGCCACGGCCATCAACACTGTTTCATTTAATCTCGCCAACAACTCTGAAGGGCAGGGACTGTCAGTTTTTACATTTTTCCCCCTCCAGATCACGAGTAAAGGGGCCAGTGTCGGTGACCCTGGCACAGGACCCCCAGTGCTCAGTGGCCATGACGCCCAGGTGGGGCTGGCCTTTCGCGTCCTATTCCCACAGGCCGAGGAAGCGAAGGGGCAAGACGAAGCCATCCCCTCCCCCGCTCCGACAAACTACTGCCCCTGGACCCCAGCTACTTTGCTCACTCCGAAAAGAGCGGAGAACCCGGGTCCCTTAGACCGCCCGGAAGTGGGCGCCGACCACGGCACAGCCTCAGTTTCCCGGCCCGGGAGGTTCAGACAGAAAGCGCTCGCCTCCGCGAGCCGGGGGAGGCCGCCAGGAGGAACAGTGGCAGCGCCCGCAGCGCCCGGCCCCCGCCCAGCGCGAGGCTGAGCGCGCAGCCCATCACCGCCTCCCGCCACCACCCCGGCGAGCGGGAACGCGAGGCCCGGCCCGGGACCCTCTCCTCAGCCCGGCCAGCACTCAGGACACCGGCCTGAAGACAGGCTGCGCTGCCTGCTTCCGCGAGCAGCCCCTCTCGGCGCCCGCTGCTCACCCGTGGCCCCACCGCGACTCGTCTCCGGCTCCCGCTCCCCGGGAGGGGCGGCCACTGCAACCCCGACTTCCGGGTCCGGCCGCTTCGGGCGTCCCCGCGTCCGTCCGATTCCCCCGTCCGACGGTGTCTGCGGGTCCCGGCGCTCGAGCGTTCCGGGGGCACCGCCCCGAATCCCCGCCGCCATCTTTGAGGGGATCCGCAAAGCTTCGCGTAGACTCCCGGGGGGCTCGCTGTCCGAAGGGGGCTCCCCAAACTCTCCACCCGGATTCTTCTCAGCTACGGGGAGCCAGTCATGACAGCCATCGTGCCAGTGATTGTGATGGTTACTAACAAAGCTACAGACGTGTGTGCAGCAGGCTTTCGTCAAAGCTATACCGTCTGTGGGATGCACGAACGGATGATGTGTGCAGAACACCTGGAAGATAAAAGTGCTTGTGTCCGGCGCTGTGGCGTAGCAGGTAAAGTGACCGCCTGCAGTGCCGGCATCCATATGGGTGACAGTTTGAGTCCTGGCTGCCCCACTTCCAATCCAGCTCTCTGCTGTGGCCTGGGAAAGCAGTGGAGGATGGCTCAAGTCCTTGGGCCCTGCACCTACATGGGAGACCTGGAAGAAGCTCCTGGCTTTGCCCTGGCTCAGCCCTGGCTGTTGTGGCCATCTCGGGGAGGGAACCAGTGGACAGAAGATTCTCTTTTTAGATTTATTTGAAACTCACAGTTACACAGAGAGGCTGAGTGAGAGAGAGAGAGAGAGAGAGGTCTTCCATCCGCTGGTTCACTTCCCAGATGGCCAAAACGGCTGCAGCTGCACCGATCTGAAGCCGGGAGCCAGAAGCTTCCTCCAGATCTCCCATGCGGGTGCAGGGGCCCAAGGACTTGGGCCATCTTCTACTGCTTTCCCAGGCCATAGCAGAGAGCTGGATCAGAAGTGGAGCAGCTGGGACTTGAACCTGCGCCCATAAGGGGTGCTGGTGATGCAGGCGGTAGTTTTACCCGCTACGCAGCGCTGACCCCATAAATAAATCTTTAAAAAAATTTTTTTAAGAAAAAGATATAAGTACCGTTAGTGTTAGGATTATGGACGGATTGCCTCGTTATTTTCTCGCGGTGCTCATCAGTCCATACGGCCCTCACCCGTCTTTTTTTTTTTTTTTTTTTTTGGACAGGCAGAGTGGACAGTGAGAGAGAGAGAGAGACAGAGAGAAAGGTCTTCCTTTGCCGTTGGTTCACCCTCCAATGGCCGCCGTGGCTGGCGCGCTGCGGCTGGTGCACCGCGCTGATCTGATGGCAGGAGCCAGATGCTTCTCCTGGTATCCCATGGGGTGCAGGGCCCAAGCACTTGGGCCATCCTCCACTGCACTTCCCGGGCCATAGCAGAGAGCTGGCCTGGAAGAGGGGCAACCGGGACAGAATCCGGTGCCCCGACTGGGACTAGAACCCGGTGTGCCGGCGCCGCTAGGTGGAGGATTAGCTTAGTGAGCCGCGGCGCCGGCCTCTTACCAGTCTTCAACATGAGCTGGAGGTCACCCCACCCTGATCCAGGCCCCGCCGGCTGCCTGCAGGTCTCCAGGCCTCAGCCGACCCCTACCCCAGCACAGCGGTGACGGCTGAGGTGGGCTCTGAGCCGCGCAAAACCAGAGTTCCTGGGTGCAGTTAATGAAGCTCCCGCAGGGGCCAGCAGGGGGCGTGGGGGGCTCCGCTCTGGAGGCCGGGGTGTCTGCCGCTGCCCTGCGCCCTCTGCCGGGAGATCCTTGCCATTGCGCCCTCACGCTACACCACCTGGGTCATGCTCCCGGGGAGCCTTAGGGAGGTATTTGTATGCAGGGTGCCTGTTTTAAGGGTGAGCGGTTCCCCCACCCTGGGGCTCCAGGAGGCAGAGCCCTGGGGTGTCTCCTTCATGGCCTTGGCCTTCTCTCTCTCCTCTTCCTCCCTACTCAGTGTGTCTGGTTATGGTTGTGGCTACACCGCAACCCGGTACCAGCCTCAGCCAGGACACAGTCCCAGGCTGTGCATCCATAAGCACCCAAAGCAGCCAGTGGGGATCCCAGCTCAGTCCCCAGGCTCTGAGTTGAGCAACACAGCACGGCTTTCCTGCTGGGCTCCAGGCTGGGGACAAGGCTGCTCGGATCTGTCACGTCTCTCCTCCGTGTCACCTCCGTGAAGCTTCAGCCCCGGAGGGGAACGAGACACGAGGCTCTCATGGTCCCCATCACGGCCTCCTCCCTCACTCTGCTAAGGAGGCTGCAGCCTGGAGTGTGCAGGGTTGAATCGGCCCTGTCCTGTGCGTGTGTGGTACCAGCCCCGGCTGGTGAAGGCTTGAGTCGGCAGGCAGCACCTGTAATATGTTCTGAGATGGGGCCGGCACTGTGGCACAGTAGGTTAAGCCTCTGCCTGCAGTGCCAGCATCCCATGTGGTCACCAGTTCGAGTCCCGGCTGCTCTGCTTCTGATCCAGCTCTCTGCTATGTCCTGGGAAAAGCAGCAGAGGATGGCCAAGTGCTTGGGCCCCTGCACCCACGTGGGAGACCTGGAAGGAGCTGCTGTATCTTAGCTTTAACCTGGCCCAGCCTGGCCGTTGTGGCCATGTCACTTCCAGTGAATGGAAGATCTCTCTCCTCTCTCTATATATCTCTGCCTTTCAAATAAGTAAATAAACCTTTAAGAAAAAAAAAAAAGCTCTCAGACAGCGTGGGGTGCTGCAGGCACAGCTCTGAGACCCCAGGGGTAACCGTACCTCGGATACCTGGGCATCTGTTCTCAGTGCTCCCAGGGGCCTGGCCTGGTGGCTCCAGCCCCTGCCCAGGCCTTACATGCAGTAGACTCATTTTGAATTAACTTAAAAATAATTTATTTTTCATTTTATGAAGAGAGAGAGAGAGAGAGAGATATCTTCTATCCACAATTCATTCCCCAAATGGCTGCAATGGCCAGGGCTGGGCCAAACTGAAGCCAGGAGCTAGGAGCTTCCTGCTGGTCGCCTATGTGGATACAGGGGTGCAAGCACTTGGGCCATCCTCCACTACTTTCCCAGGCCATCAGAAGGAAGCTGGATCAGAAGTAGAGCAGCCGGGACCTGAACTGGTGTCCATACAGGATGCTGGTATAGCAGGCAGTGGCTTTACCTGATACACCACAGCACATGTGGTGTGAGGTAGGGAGCCAGCAGTGATGGTGTGAGTAGCATTCCAGGGTGCCTGCTGTTATCCTTGGCTGTTTCTGGACAGCTGGGGCCTGCTGCCTGTGTGTGTGGCAATGAGGTCATATTCGGAGTTGTGAGGATGATCTTGCTAGGAGGGAATGTCTTGGAAAGTAGCCAATCGGGACCTGGCCCAGAGCTCCCTGCCCTGCCCCCACTTCTACAGAGCAATGGCAGACAACCCTCTCTCCTTCCAATCCTCCTGCAGTTCCCTCCATATCCTCCGTCTCCTTTCCCTCGCCCCTTTTCTTCCCTCCTTCTCCTTACTGCGACTTGACCAGGGGCCTTGCTGGCATGCTGTGCACCTGCTGCTGCTTTCTGGGGGACTCCCTGGAGTAGATCTTCCACACTGCACCAAGATGGGGAAAGAGGGGCTGGCATGGCACAGTGGTTAAGCCATCACCTGTGACGCTGGCATCCCATATGAGCACCAGTTCGAGTCTCAGCTGCTCTGCTTCTGAGAAGAGCCTGGTGCACCTCTCCCAGCCTGACACCACCGACAGCTGCTTATTTGGGATCAGACCTTGGAAAAGTCTCTTCTTTTCCAGAAGGGCTCGCCAGGTGCCAGCCCCAGCAGGTATCCCTTCTAAGCAAATAACTTCATTCAACACACTTGCAACTGTGAGGTGGGGACTCCCAGTAATTTTGCGATGCAGAACGATGAGACACTGAGTTTCATCCTCGGCCTACACTGCAGGGACCTTCAAACAAGCTCCAGGGGGCTGTGCGCCTGCAGGGTGTGGGGGGGTGTGTCTCAGGATCTAGGGGGAATTTGGTGCAGAAGCTTCCAGAAGCAAGCGTCCTCCAATCCACAGTGACTCGGGCAAGGAGAACGTGAACGGGAAGTGTAAGGAGGGAAGCAGGTGTGCTTCCTGTGTGTGCCTCCAGGGGCCCCCGGCAGGCAGCGGCGAGGCCCAGACACACCCTGGGAAGGGCAGCTGCAGGGCACTGCACCGCACGAGCTCTGATACATGCACAACGCCCTGCCTGGCCACAATGGCCACGGCGACCTGGGTGGCATCAGAGACCACCACCCAGAGCCAAGGTCCATCCCCCAGCTGTGCTTCTAAGTCATGACATTCCTCCAAAACACTTTCCCGTTCCTCTGCCTGGGATTGCTCCCACTTCCAGTCTCTGCCCAAATGCCCGTGGCCACCCAGCCCCGCTTCTCTGCCCAGACAGACCTTGCCTAAGAGCTGATCTCAAACTGCTGCTCTTCCACCCACCACACCGCAGGCCCCACTGCCTCGCCCTTGGCCCTGGCCCGGCCTCTGGTCCTGCCATTGATGTGCCAGCCCGCAGACCTGCACTGAGCATCTGTGCCACCAGGGTGGCGCTCGCTGTTGTCTTTGCTCTGTCCTTGGCCCTTGCAAAAGCACCTGTCACTCAGCGGGCTCTTGGTCTCTGAGCCGGTCCCATGTGTGCGACACTGGTATGCGGATGGATGACAAGGGTGGGGGTGATCGGGGACCGCCAGCACTGTGTCCCAAGCAGGAGCCCCTCTCCCAGCCTGTACGGGACTCTCCAGGGCATTAATGTGACCTGGAGGTCAGAGGAGCCTGCTGCGGGCGCGGCTCCCTGCTGGGTGGAACAGGCAGTGGGCACCTTCCCGCTGAGGGTCACTTCCTTTCCTGTCTCTGGTGCCTGGGTTGGCATGGGTAGGGCCAGAAGAATTGAGACGGTGGGGGTGGGCAGGATGCAGCGAGGGTCCCCCCCCCTTCCCTGCTGGTCGCTCAGTGACTCCCTGCATCCATCATCCCCTGGCTGTCTTCTCAGTCCAGGTCTTTCGGTGTGTGGGTCTCGGCCACTCCCAAGTCTGCTGAGCCACCTCGTGTCTTCCCGGGCACCAGCTTTCATTGTACTCTACCCACGTGGTGCCGGCGGCCTGGGCTGGGACCCGTCCAAACTCACATCACGAACCTGGCCTTCTCCAGGTGCCCGTGTCCAGGTCTCCTCCGGCAGTCGCCCGCCTCAGCTCAGCTGTCTGTCTTCTACCCGGAAGTACTTCTCCGACCCGCCCCCCGCCACCCCCCCAAGAGAAGGCCACTCCTGCTGCTTCTGTGACTCGGCCCCTGCAGCGCCGGCGTCCTAAGAGGCTGAGGTCTCCTCCAGTGCCAGATGTGTCCTGGGTCGCCCAGGCACCCAGTCCCAGGACGGCAGTGCCTGGGAGACCACGTGCACATGTGGGTGCACGGTCAAGGGCCACGCCCACCTCTGCCTCCCAGCAGCCCCCACCCCCACCCCTGGGAACTGGGCAAGTCGGCCGAGGCCCCATTTCACCCTCTCCGGAAGCAAAGAACAGGGCAGAGAAACCGAGTGAGCAGCCAGAAGCATGAAGCCGAGGAGAGGGAGTGATCTCCGGGGGGGCGGGGGGCAGGCTGGGGCTGCTGTGGTCTCTGCACCCCCACCGCCTGACGGCACAGCGCCTCCGTGAGGGATGCGGCTGGGAGGAACGGTCCAAACAGGGCAGGGTCTGGGCGGAGCAGAACGCACCGGACGGTCGCTGTGGAAGTTTGGTTTATGTCCACGCCCCCGGCAGGAGGTCTGTGGCTCCCGGGCCCTCAGTCGAATTGCACCAGCCTCACGGGCAGGGGCGAGGGCAGCGGCGGGCTCCAGAGCATGTCGGCGCGCTGCACGGCCTGCAGCAGCGTCTGCATCTCGGCCTGCACCTGGCACAGTTTGTCCTTATTGACCGGCCCCCAGGAGAGGCCGTGCAGGTAGACGCAGCACTCGACCGGGATCGGGTAGAGAACGCGCTTGAGCTCCGTCAGGCCCGTGGCGGTGCGCTCCAGCAGGCTCAGGAGGCCGGCCCGCGACACCGGGTTGTCGGACAGGCCCAGGGAGCTGAGGCGGGAGCAGCGGCACAGGGCGGGCAGGATGGCGCTGAGGTGGGCGTCTTTCAGCCGGCAGTGGTTCAGGTCCAGGTGCTGTAGCGTCCCCGACACCTGCCCCAGCAGGGTCTCCAGGGGCCCTGGCACCATGTAGGACAGGTTGTTGCCGCTCAGGTCCAGTCTCTTCAAGCACGTGGCATGGGGGCTCTGGGACAGGTAGGTGACGTCGGTGTCCAGGAGGGTGCAGGAGCGGATCTCCAGGGCAAGCAGTGGGGCCTGCAGACAGCTGGGGAGGGAGGGCACAGCTGACTCAGGGGCGCATGGACCCCCGCCTGCCCTGGGGGAAGCCACTGAACAGCGGGTTTAGGGTCAGGCCCTTTGGTGCCCCACAGCCTGGCTCTGTCTCCACCGACCCACTGGCTGACCCCAGGTTTCTCTGCGGTGACACGGAGACCCACACGGCCCAGCCAGTGTGCCTGTTGCAAGGAGCTGCTTTGATGACAAAGAAGTCCTCAGGAGGAGCCGGTTGCTACTCGGGTTTGAGTTTGGGGAAGCTGCCGCTGGCCCTGTAGTGTGCCAAGGGCTGGACTAGGATGGGGTATCCTGAGAACATCCTGTAGAAATTTCTAGAAGAGGGGCTGGCGCTGCGGCACAGTAGGTTAAGCCTCCGCCTGTGGTGCCAGCATCCCACATGGGAACCGGTTTGAGTCCCAGCTGCTTCATTTTATTTTTTTAATATTTATTTATTCATTTGAAAGGCAGAGGTACAGAGAGGCAGAGAGAGAGAGAGAGAGAGAGAGAGAGAGAGAGAGAGGTCCTCCATCTGCTGGTTTGTTCCCCAAATGGCCACAATGGCCAGAGCTGTGCCAATCTGAAGCCAGGAGCTTCTTCCAGATCTCCCATGTGGGTGCAGCGGCTCAAGGACTTGGGCCATCTTCTACTGCTTTCCCAGGCCATAGCAGAGAGCTGGATCAGAAGTGAAGCAGCCGGGACTTGAACCAGTGCCCACACGGGATGCTGGTGATGCAGGCGGCAACTTTATCTGCTATGCCACAGCACTGGACCCTGCTCCTCTTCCAATAGAGCTCTCTGCTATGGCTTGGGAAAGCAGCAGAAGATGGCCCAAGTTCTTGGGCCCCTGCTCCCGCCTGGGAGACCCAGAAGAAGCTCCTGGCTCCTGGCTTTGGCCTGGCTCAGCTCTGGCTGTTATGGCCAGTTGGGTGGTGAACCAGAGGATGGAAGATCTCTCTTTTTCTGTCTCTCCCTCTCTCTGTCTGTAACTCTGCTTCTCAAATAAATAAAAAATCTAAACCAGCTAGCTCTTTAAATCCATTGCGATTTTTGTTTTGTTTAACCTTATGGCTCTTTGGGGAAAGTCGCTGTGTTCCAGGGTAGATCCCAGCCATCAGCTGCACCCAAATCCCGGGTTCCCAGGGCTGTGCCTGGGTTCCACAGCATAAGAAGCGCGGCCCCCCTGCCCTGACTGGACTTGGGGGGCCACCCTGGGGATCCCCGTGGGAGGCCCCGCCCTCCCTCACCTGAGCACTTGGTGGAGGTTGCCCGAGAGGTAGGAGTAGGAGAGGTGGAGCTTCTGCAGGTGGGCCAGCTTGCTGAGCTGCGACAGGAAGTAGGTGGAGGACTGCTCGCCCTCGGGAGAGAAGGCCCAGTGATAGTAGGCCAGCTTGAGGCTCTGCAGGTTGCAGATCCTGCCCAGCTGCGTGGCGAACAGACTCTGCTCCGAGAGCGCGCGGAACCAGTCGAAGACTTCCAGCTCCTGGACGCAGGGCAGCTGCAGCGTCCGCAGGATGCCTGTGAGGCTGCTGAAGGGCACCTCCTCGATGTGCAGCTCCCGACAGCACAGGCGCAGGGCCCCGCCGCTCTGCTCCACTTTGGTCAGGAGGCCCGAGAGGAACGTGTCCAGCTTGAAGGGGCCACGCAGGAAAAGATCGATGTGCAGCTCCACCGGCTCTCGGGGCTGCTTTGGCCCTCTCCTCGTGTTCTCTGCCAGCCTGGGCCCCGCCGTGGCCTGGGACGCCTCCGCCTTCACGGTCGATGGTAACCAAAACGGGAACCTGGCCAGGGCCTCCGAGACCCCTTTACTCTGGACCTGCTGGAAGTCCAGGGTCAGATCCAGCACTCTCAGTTCCGACCTCCTGCTGGGGGAGAGGCAGTGCGATGAGCCGCTATTGGAAGACAGGCACAGGCAGCCCTGGGCCGCTCCCGCATCCCGGCATCCTCCATTCTTGAATGGGGTTTTTTCTTTTCCTTCCACACTCAGGCCCCTCCCCAGCCCCATGCCCCAATCCCTGGGAGGTGGCAAGCCCACCCCTTCAGCTGCCTCATCGGCTGCTTGACCCAGAAACCCACAGCTCGGCCCTCGGCACTCCCCCTGCGTCGGCCTCCGCCTCTGCGCCTAGCCCTTGTTCCCAGCATCCCCCTCACCTGGGCCAGGCCCCGGGGCCCGGGCAGTCCTCCAGGCCGTCCAGCACGGCCTGCAAGCTGTCTTGTCTGGGCCACTGCACTATCAGGGAGCCCAGGCGCAGGAAAGGGAAGGGCCAGGCCTGCACCAGGGCTTTCACGGCCTTCTTGCGCCCCCTGGCGAAGGCTGCGGTGAGCAGCGGTGGGAAGAGGTCCACCGTGAACTCTTCCAAGGCAGGGATCCCCCAGGCCTCGCTGCTCAGCAGGCTGTGGGCTGCAAGTTCCAAGAGCTTTGGGAGGGCTGGGCTGCTCATCTCCGCGACCCTGGAGCAGAACAAGGTGGGGACCCTCAGAGCCCCTGTGCCAGCATCCCTCCCAGGCCAGCATTCATCCATCACAGGACCAAGCACTGGCTCCACCCTGCATTCATGATTCAATCCCCCCAGGCAGGCCCTGGGGTGGGAGTGGGGGTGGGGGCCAGGCCCTCAGGGTTTTAGAATCACTGGTGAGCACCTGCTCAGGACACTGTCCCCAAACTCCACCACGGCTTTCCAAGACGTTTCTAGAATCTGCCAGTCATCACTTCAGCTTTCACCAAATCACCAGGTGGCTCCCACCAGGAGGTGTTCCCCACCCTCACCTCTTCCTGCTTCCGGGTCAAAGTCAGGTCCTGCCGCTCCTCTGCCTCCCTTCATTCCGCGGCTAGCCCCTGGGCAGAGGTTAGCCTCTGTGCCTTTCCCCGACCCACGCACCGCTGTGCCCCAGCACCGGGCACTTCCACTCCCTCTGCCCGGAAGCGTTCTCTCCTAGGTGTCCTTGTGGCCTGCCCTCTCCCTTCATTCGATTCTCGGTTCAACTTTACCTCCTCCAAGAGGTCTTCCCTGACTACTCACGGGGGCTGGCACTCCCACCCCTCAGTGAAGAGCCTCGTCTATCCCAACCTGATGCCAAGGCTCGGGCAGGACTTGGCTTCCCAAACACAGGCGGATGGTCTCACAGTAGTGGATTCCTGGCTGGCGGCTGGTAGGAGGTGGCACTGGGGGAGGTCTGTGGGTCATGGGGGCGTGCCCCTGGGAGCTCCTTCTCTCAGGAGGGTTGATTATTTAAGGATTCTCCTGCTGCTTCCTGGCTCACGGAGAATGACTGTCCCCACACAGGCTGTGCCATCACCATCTTCTGCGAGATGCCAGACCCAAGGGGCTGCCCTGCCTTGGACTGTGGGCCCTCAGACTATAAGGGAAGCAGTGGATGGAAGATCTCTCTCTGTCTCTCCTCTTTCTGTAACTCTGCCTTCCATATAAATAAATGAAATCTTTTAAAAAAATCTGAAAACAGTGTTGAAAATGATGGTTGCGACAGAAAAAAATCATAGACCACTCTCACTTAGAAATACCAAGAGTGATGAGGCGTTTAGCCTAGCAATTAAGATATGTCTTTACTTGGGAGTACCTGGGTTTGATACCTAGCTCCAGCTCCTGGCTCTAGCTTCCTGCCAATGCAGACCCTGGGAGACAGAGGTGATGGCTCAAGTACTTGGATCCCTGCCACCCATGTAGGAGACTTGGAATGAAATTTTTTTTAATATTTATTTATTTTACTTGAAAGAGTTACACAGAAAGAGAAAGAGAGACAGAGAGAGAGGAGGGGGGGAGAGAGAGAGAGAGAGAGAGAGAGAGAGAGAAAGAGAGGTCTTCCATCTGATGGTTCACTTTCCAATTGGCTGCAATGGCTGGAGCTGTGCTAATACAAAGCCAGGAGCCAGGAGCCTCCTCTGGGTCTCCCATGTGGGTGCAGGGGCCCAAAGGCTTGGGCCATCTTGTATTGTTCTTCCAGGCCATAGTAGAGAGCTGGATCGGAAGTGGAGCAGCCAGGACTTGAACCAGTGCCTACATGGGATGCCGGCACTGCAGGCAGCAGCTTTACCTGCTATGTCACAGAACCGGCCCTTGGATTGAGTTCTGGGCTCCTGGCTTTGGCTTGAGCCCAGTCTCAGCCATTTGGGTATTTGAGGAGTGAACCAGTGGATAAAAGTTCTTTTCTCTCTCAAATAAATAAATAAATAAGAAATATTGGGGCTGGTGCTGTGGCGTAACGGGTAAAGCCACTGCCTGCAGTGCTGGCATCCAATACGGGTGCCAGTTCAAATCCTGGCTGCTCCACTGCCAATCCAGCTCTCTACGATGGCCTGGGAGAGCAGTAGAAGATGGACAAAGTCCTTGGGCCCCTGCACCTGCATGGAGACCTGGAAGAAGCTCCTGGCTTCAGACTGGTGCAGCTCTGGCTGTTGCAGCCATTTGGAGAGTAAACCAGGTAATAGAAGACCTCTCTCTCTCTCTCTCTCCTCTCGCTGTCTCTGCATCTCTATAACTCGGCCTTTCAAATAAATAATCTTCGAAAAAAAAAAAAAAGAAGAATACATTCCTATCTGCGCTCATGTTGACTTGTCTATATTTCCTTTTGGTGTTAAGAGGCTGGGGAACTGTGGAAGTTCACAGGAAGCTCTCCTTTATTTTTTCAATATTATTTATTTGAAAGAGAGAAAGACCCACAAGGAGGTGGGAGAGAGATTTTTTCCACCCACTGGCTCACTTCCCAAATGCCTGCAACAGCCAGAGCTGGGCAAGGCAAAAGCCAGAAGCCAGGAACTCCGTCCAGGTTTCCTACGTGGGTACAGGCACCTGCTTATGTGAGCCGTCACTGCTGCCTCCCAGGGTGTGTATTAGCTGGAACTGGGAATGAAGCCAGGACTCCCATACAGGATGTGGGTGTCCCGATCGGCATCTTAACGCTTGTGCAAACACTTGGCCCTGAGAGTAACTGGTCAGTAGGCAGGAAAAAAAGCAGAATCTTTCCAGACAGATGAAAGCATGATAGAAAGACACAAGAAAATGAAACCCAATGTCCATCAAATTTTCACTCCAGATGGTATATTGAAGCTGATGGCAGTGACTCTTAACGGCCAACAGTAGCTTACAACCTCTACCTTCTCTCATTTTCATTTGCACAAATTGATGAGGTGTGTACACTGTATTTCTAACCAAGTAATACCTTACTTGGATCCCACAGGTAGGAACTGGAGCTACTACTAGGTTTTTTTTTTTTTTTTTTTTTTTTTTTGACGGGCAGAGTGGACAGTGAGAGAGAGAGACAGAGAGAAAGGTCTTCCTTTTGCCATTGGTTCACCCTCCAATGGACGCCGCGGCCCACGCGCTGCGGCCGGCACAATGCGCTGATCTGAAGCCAGGAGTCAGGTGCTTCTCCTGGTCTCCCATGGGGTGCAGGGCCCAAGCACTTGGGCCATCCTCCACTGCACTCCCGGGCCATAGCAGAGAGCTGGCCTGGAAGAGGGGCAACCGGGACAGAATCTGGCGCCCCGACCGGGACTAGAACCCGGTGTGCTGATGCCGCAGGTGGAGGATGAGCCTATTGAGCCAAGGCACCGGCCTATTACTAGGTTTTCATTCTGCACACTGCTCCCTCCCCCTCTCTCCCTACCCCATGAAAGATACTCAACCAGGAGCACAACTGAGTGTTGTGTGTCAGTGTCTGCCATATAGCAAGCAGTTATTAAATGATAGTCATGAGGCCGGCGCCGCGGCTCACTAGGCTAATCCTTCGCCTGCGGCACCAGCACCCCGGGTTCTAGTCCCGGTCAGGGTGCTGGATTCTGTCCCAGTTGCTCCTCTTCCAGTCCAGTTCTCTGCTGTGGCCAGGGAGTGCAGTGGAGGATGGCCCAAGTGCTTGGGCCCTGCACCCGCATGGGAGACCAGGAGAAGCACCTGGCTCCTGCCTTCGGATCAGCGTGGTGCGCCGGTTACAGTGCGCTGGCTGCAGTAGCCACTGGAGGGTGAACCAACGGCAAAGGAAGACCTTTCTCTCTGTCTCTCACTGTCCACTCTGCCTGTAAAAAAAAAAATGATAGCCATTATTTTGGAATTAGTAGGATTAGTATTTACTTGTGTATAGCCCAAGGTCCTGCTTAGGAGGTGTTCCAACTGTCTTGTTCAATGCATATACTTTAATATTACTTGGTGCATAGGTGCATAGGGGGATCCTTTCAGTGTTATCACCCCATAAGTCAATAACAAGTTAAGACGAGGAAGACGCAAGCTCTCACGGTTGAAAATTTTCAGCTCACCAGTGAGTGAAATTATGAGTTAGGCTAATGTGGTAAGAGAGTAACAAGGAAATAAGGCCATCCTAGTTTCTGGACAATTCTCCAGTCATGAGTCCACTGAGTGGCGATACCACATTCTGCAGTCTGACCCTCAGCACTTGCAATCTGAATGTTAGATTTAGTCAGTAGACACAGAATAATCTGGGCGCTCTGCGAGTGCTAAAATAGGTCATACTCACCAACTAATCTTTAATCATATTGGCCATTATGTGTGTAATAATAATAAATATGCAATTCCATTCCATTCCACCTTGGTCCAGTTCCTTAGCCCTGGCAATGATAGTTTATTCTTGTTTCCAGGTTGATTGTTGGAAATCACTTTCCTACCCAGAGTCCTCCTTTCCTGAATCCCACAGTAGCCTATCAGCTACTTTATTTTTTGTAGCATTTGTCACTATCTAAAATTATATTATTTCCTTCTTGACTACCTGTCTCCCCTCAACAAAAATGACAAGTTTTTGGATATTCATTCACTTCCACGTCCCCAGCTTCTAGAACAGAACCTGACACATACTAGGAATTCAATAGGTGTTTCCCGAATGAATGAATGTAATCTGGGGGCTGCAAGTCCAAGCTGGACAAGAGCCAATTCAAGCTTTTTTCCTTCAATAGAGAAGTTAGTTCCCTTAAGATGAATTACACAATGATTTGACTTTTTCTGTTTCACACTAATCACACGAAAAATCAATCATGAGAGGCAGGTGTTTGATCAAGGCTGAGAAGTTGCTTGGGACAGCCACATCCCATGTTATCTGGGTTTGAGTCCTGGCTCAGCTTCCAGTTCCGGTTTCCTCCTACAGTACACCCTGGGAGGCAGCAGGTGATGGCTCAAGTACTTAGGTCCCTGCCACACACATGGGAAACTTGGATTAAGTTCTGGGGCTCCTGGCTTCTGCCTGGCCCAGACTTGGCTGTTGTGGGATTTTGGGGAGTGAACCAGTGGACAGATCTCTGTCTCCATCTCTTTGCCGTAAAAGTATAGTCTCAGATTTTTTTTTTTTTTTTTTTTTGCAGGCAGAGTTAGACAGTAAGAGAGAAACAGAGAGAAAGGTCTTCCTTTCGTTGGTTCACTCCCCAAATCAGCATGCTGTGCCGATCCGAAGGCAGGAGCCAGGTGCTTCCTCCTGATCTCCCATGGGGTGCAGGGCCCAAGCACTTGGGCCATCCTCCACTGCACTCTCGGGCCACAGCAGAGAGCTGGACTGGAAGAGGAGCAACCGGGACAGAATCCGGTGCTCCAACCAGGACTAGAACCCAGAGTACCTGCGCCGCAGGCGGAGGATTAGCCAGGTGAGCATGGCCCCGGCCTCCTCCAGCAATGTTTTGAGACTCCAGATGCGCCTGGGTCTCCACCTGTTGGCCACTTTTTTCCTGGCGGGATCTCTAAACATATTTAGATCTCAGCACATTATCACACGTTTGCATTTTGCTCACTCTTTTTGTATTTCTCCTAGTCTCTGTTCAGAACAGACAAGTTAATCCTATTTCTTCTATATATCCCTTATTTTAAATCAGAAGCAGATAAACAAGCACAATGCGGTCGTATTTTTCAAACCAGCCGAACAAAACGTAGACACTCGTACCTTAGGAGGGGAACCCATCATTTCTGGGTGATCACAATTCTGTAAGATGGCTCTGGTTACATGGACGAAGCTTCTGGAATAAACACAGTTTGGCACTGAGAGTTCGGCTCTCCCACTTACCAGCTGGGTGTCTCACGGAAGCTAAGCTCGCTTCCTCATGCACAAAGTGAGGATGTCAATAGAATGTTCGGTGCCGGGTTTTGGGTTGAAAACTCTTGTCTTGTGACGAAAGCCTGGGGATGCCAGCCTCTCCTCCACTCACTCAGCCCTATCTTTCAGCAGCGCAACCTCTCAGCAACAACAGCAAACCAACAAAGTAAACCCACCTCAGGACGTTTGTCACGAGGCTATTCCACGAAGGCAATGGCTCTGTGTAAGAACCATCCGAAGAGCCAGATCGTTGCTTTTTGTTTGTCTGAACACACAGAGGCCACGATGCTAGCTAGGGCTGTCTGTCTGAGCAGACCTGGGGTTCCAGAAAAGGGCGGGAGAGCGACCCCAGAGGCAACTCAAGGAATATTCTTTCTGCACAGGAGATGTCAGGAGAGCCTCGCTGTGGGGGGCCGGCTGGACCCACTTCCAGCCACGGCCCGGCGCGGAGGGTCCCGGAAGTGAGTCCAAAATCAAAATGGCAGCGGCGGTTGCCGGCCTCGGCCCGGCAAGACGAAACCGGAAGTCGGAAGCCGGAAGTCGCTGTGTGCGGCAGCGCTGCTGGTCCGGTGCTACTTGCTGCCTGTTGCCTGGCCGGCCGAAGCTTGTGTGGGCCCCGGGTGCTGAGCCCTGCGCTTGATTTTCGGGAACGAATCCCCGGAATTCACAGCCCCACACTGCCATATGTCAGTGGTTGATTGCGGATCTTTGGGGAGCCTCGTGGAGAGGAGCCCGAGGTATCTGACTAAAAACCAGCCTGCGGTCATTACTGCTCATTCCACCTCGCTCAGCAATGACTGAGGCTGTCCGTTCCTTACGCTGCACTGGAGACGAGGCGAGGGGAGAGAACAGGCAATTCTGCTCTGAGAGAAGCTGTCAAGCACCTTACTTCACCTTTTGGCAGCAACATTGAAACAACTGCCATTTCCTAAGGTGGGGGGAGGGAGAGACATCGCCGAGGAAACACAGGCTCTGCACGGCCCAGACTGCTGGGGATCGCAGCCTCATGCCCCAGCTGTTATTGACTCTGAGTAAGTCATGCAATTTCATTGGCCCTTAGTTTATTAAAAAAAAATGGGGAGATGGTGCTGTGGCATAGCAGGTAAAGCCACCACCTGCAAGGCTGGCATCTCATATGGGCGCTGGTTCAAGTCCAGGCTGCACCACTTCCTATCCAGCTCCCTGCTAAAGTGCTTGGGAAATCAGTGGAAGATGACCCAAGTGCTTTGGCCCCTGCATCCACGTGGGAGAACGGAAAGACGATCCAGGCTCCTGGCTTTGGATAGGTGCAGCTCTGGCTGTTGCAGCCATCTAGGGAGTGAACCAGTGGATGGAAGACCTCTCTCTCTCTCCCTCTCCTTCTCTCTGTGTAACTGACTTTCAAATAACTCAATAAATCTTTTAAAAAATCTGTTTATTTCAGAGGCATAGCTATAGACAGAGAGTGGAAGAGACAGAGAGTTTTCCAGTGTTGGTTCACTCCCCAAATGGCCCCAATGACTGGGCTGGGCCAGGATGAAGCCAGGAGCCAGGAGCCCCCTCCAGATCTCCCACGCAGGTGCAGGGGCCCAAGGACTTGGGCCATCTTCTGCTGCTTTCCCAGGTGCATTAGCAGAGAGCTGGATAGGAAGAGGAGCTGCCAGGACTGAAACCAGCTGTCTCATGGGATACTGGTGCCACAGGCTGTGGCCTTAACCCACTGCAACACAGCGCCAGCCTCAGGGTTTGTTTATTTTTTTAAAGATCTCTTTTTATTTATTTGAAGGGTAGAGTTACAGAGAGAGAGAGAGAGAGAGAGAGAGAGAGAGAGAGAGAAAGGGAGGGAGAGGTAGCTCCCATACAGTGGTTCACTCTGCAACAACTGGGGCTGGGCCAGGCCAAAACCAGGAAGCTGCCATTCCATACAGGTCTCCCATATGGGTGGCAGGGGCTTGAGCCATCTTGCATGGCTTTCCCAGGCACATTAGCAGGGAGCTGGATTGGAAGCGGAGCAGCTGGGACACAAATCAGAGTTCGGATGGGATGTTGGCGTTGTAGGCAGTGGCTTAACCTGCTGTGCCACAGGGCCAGCCCCATCGGTAGGATTCAAATAGGAAAATGGAGAAAAACATGCCAGTGGGGTGAAGGGGGCTCTTTGGGAGGGGAATGTGTAGGACTGGCTTTGGGTTTGGAGCAGGGAAGCCGGCTGTCAAAGACAAAATACACTGGACAGCTGAGGTGCAGTTTCATAAACAGAAACTTATCTTTAATTCTATTTCCCCAGCAACTTAAAAAGAAAACTGTTTATTTTATTTGAGGAGCAGAGAGCCAGGAGGAGCTCCCAGCCACCGGTCCACCCCGCAAAGAGCCTGGGAGCAGTGAGCTCAATCCAGGTCTCTCACGCAGGTGGCAGGGACCTGATCACTTGAGCCGTTGCCTGCTGCCTCCCAGGGTGCACATTAGCAGGAAGCTGGCATCAGAGGAACCCACGTACTCTGATGTGGGATGTACGTGTCCTAAGTGGTGTCTTTAATGCTGCACCAAACACCCACGCCAAGGAGAAGATCTTATGCAGGCTGTTGCAACAGAGAGAACGCTCCAGATCCGAGGTCAGAGAGTCTCAGGAGAGTGGTTGACCTTGGACTTCTAAGGGGCGGGGCACACAGTGGCAGATGTTTGTTTTGCAAGCAAGGCAAGTCTCAGTTATCCAAGCAGCAACTGAGAGCCTCTGCGGTTAGTCTCGGGGGATAAACTCTCATGATCTCAGTTAGCCAAAGAATGGGCAGTTGGAGCATCTGTGTCTAACCGTGTTGCAAAGCTGGGTCTTGGACCTTGCCACAGAGAAACAAGGGAGGTGTCCCCGACTCTCATGGGGAGTTAGGAGAGGGTGCATAGAGTCTTACAGAGGGCTGCACAGAGCACAGATGAAGTTCAGGGTTCCTGTTGAAGGAGCCAATCCCAGAAACTGCTAGAGTTTCTTTGCCAGGGGACAAACAGTGCCCCCAAAACTATGAGTCTCAGCGCGCAGAGCCAGGTGTATTCAGGTGTAAAACCAGGGAAGCAGCCCAGGGCGTGGGAAAAAGGCAGCTTTCCTATCCTTGGGTCTCCAAACCACAGATCTGGGCATGTACGTTTGAGTGTCCTTCTATTTGTTTCTGTTAAGAGGCAAACACTGAAGAGGACCAGACTTGAGTGTTTCGTGGGGAGGAGGTGACAGTGGTTTTTCTCATGCTCTGTACCCCATCACTGGGTGGGGCCAGCAGGGATTGGGATGTGTGGTCTTCATCCCTTTGCCCAATCCTGGAACCTTCCCTACAAGGGATACAGCACAGCCTTTTCTTTTCTTTCCTTTTTTTTCCTTTCCTTTCCTTTCCTTTCCTTTCCTTTCCTTTCCTTTCCTTTCCTTTCCTTTCCTTTCCTTTCCTTTCCTTTCCTTTCCTTTCCTTTCCTTTCCTTTTTTTCTTTTCTTTTAAGAATTATTTTATTTATTTGAAAGACAGAGTTACAGAGAGAGGTAGAGACAGTGAGAGAGGTCTCCCACCTGCTGGTTCACTCCCACTTCACAGGCAATGGCCAGAGCTGAACTGATCCAAAGCCAGGAGCCAGGAGCTTCTTCTGGGTCTCCCACATGGGTGCAGGGGCCCAAGGACTTGAGCCATCTTCTACTGCTTTCCCAGGCCATAGAAGAGAGCTGGATAGGAAGAGGAGCATCCGGGACTAGAACCGGTGCCCATATGGGGTGCCGGCTCTGCAGGCTGGGGCTTTAACCCACTGCATTACAGTGCAGGCCCAAACACAGCCATTTCAAACAAAAAACAATGAACAGGACCAAAAATTCCCATAGCGTACACAATTTGAATGAGCATATTGAGATAATGGGTGATGTAGCTGCACAAGGAAACTAAGTAGCAACATTAGGCATCCAAAAACAGCTGAATCAATTAAAAACACTGGGGTGGGGGCTGGTGCTGTGGCACAGCGGGTTGATGTCCTGGCCTGCAGTGCCGGCATCCCATGTGGGTGCCAGTTCAAGTCCCAGCTGCTCTACTTCTGATCCAGCTCTTTGCTATGGCCTAGAAAAGCAGAAGGCCCCTGCACCCATGTGTGAGACCTGGAAGAAGCTCCTGGCTCCTGGCTTTGGATCGGTGCAGCTCTGGCCGTTGCAGCCATCTGGGGAGTGAACCAGCAGGTGGAAGAGCTCTCTCTCTCTCTGTGTGCCTCTCCTCTCTCTGTGTAACTCTGCCTTTCAAATAAATAAATAAATAAATAAATCTTTAAAAAAAAACCACTGAGGTGGAGAAAAGAGAAGAGAAGAGAGAGAGATGAATTCTCTGAGTAAGTGGATTAGAAGTCAGGGTGACAGCTTGTCCCACTTTGTCTCATACTGAGGGATTTCCCAAAATACTAAGGGAGACTCAGACAAACCAGGATGGCTAGTCGCCAAGACTTTTAGTTTCTGGTCCAGCCCACGAAGCTTGGGTGGCGTCACCACCCCATCCTAACAAGCGTGAAGTCGAGCCAACTGAACAGTCAACAGCTCCTCTTAGGTCTGTTAGGGAAGTGAGGCCATGAGGCAAATAGCTGCTTCCCTGAATCGGAGAGGTGGGCAGGCAGGAGCCCTTTCTGCTCAAAGCCCACTGGAGCAGAAAGAAGCCCATGAACAGGAATCTCTCCAGGAGTTGTTGGGAGGCTAAGTGCGGACAAGCCCGAGAGAGGACTCCGGGGAGGACTTGGCCCCTTGTCTGGGGCTCCGGTCATCCTGTACCACCTTACGGCGGAGGGTGTGTAGGGACACTGAGAGCGCTGTTGAGACATAGATGATGAAGGCATAAGTTCTGGGGCCCGCGTGATGCGGCACAGTGGGTTAAGCCACTGCCCTTGGCATGCCAGTTGAAGTCCCAGCTGCTCTACTTCTGATCCAGCTCCCCATTAATACGCCTGGGAAAGCAATGGAGGATGGCCCAAGTGATTGGGCTCCTGCCATCCATGTGGGAGACCTGGAATAAGTTCCCGGCTCCTGGTTTCCATCTGGCCCCAGCTCTGGCTGCTGTGGTCATTTGGAGAGTGAACCATCAGATGGAAGGTCTCTCTTAAATAAATTAATAATAAAAAAATAAAAAGAACTCCCAGGAGCCATGCAAAACTGAAATATCAAAAGTGTTCACAAAACAAAAAAATCCCTAAACTCTACCAACCTAGAATCCTGTACCCTGTGAAATTACCCTTTGAAGCCAAGGGAGAAATACTGACTTTGACCATAAAAATCAAGGAAATCTGTTGCCAGCGTATCTGCCTTGCAAAAAATGTTCAAGGAAGTTCTTGAGGGACCACTGTGGTGTAGTAGGCTGGGCCTCTGCCTGTGGCGCCAGCATCCCATATGGGCACTGGTTCAAGTCTCAGCTGTTCCAATTCCAATCCAACTCCTTGCTAATGCTCCTGAGAAAGCAGCAGAAGATGGCCCAAGTCCTTGGGCCCCTGCACCCCTGTGGGAGACCTGGAAGAAGTTCCTGGCTCCTGGCTCTAGACCATTGCTGCCATT